CATCATATGAATGATATAAATATAGTAATATATATTTTCCTGTTGAATTTTATAATTATTTCACCTAATTTTATTTTTACTAAAAGGCATTAACTGAATGAATAAATTGACATGCTATTTACAACTCACTATGTGTATTTATAAAAATAAATTCACAAATAAAAAACTTACTTTTGTTCTTGCTCATGAATTTGAGTGCAAAAAAATGTGTTCAAATGAATGCTGTAAAGATGGCACCAAAATTCTACTGATAGCATACTTACATTTGTTAATCTTATCTCTGATAGATAATTATTTAAGAGGGAACTAAGAATATCCCCAAATATTGGACAATAACCTTTATCTGCAGCTACCACACTTACCATTTTCAAAGAGTGGTATGGTAGGGGCGGGGTATAACTGAGTGGTAGAGTGTGCTTAGCATGTATGAGGTCCAGTGTTCGATCCCCAGTACCTCCATTAAAAAAATAACAACTAACTAAACAAATAAAACTAATTACCTCACCCAAAAATAATTTTAAAAAGTGAGATATACACAGAGGGGGTGGTGCAGGCAAAGACTCATTCTGTCACACATTAGATCTGTGTCCTCAGTCTCCTAATTGGTGAGCAGGCCTGGACCAGAGCTGAGACATAAGGTCATTTCTTGTTCCTCTGGCCTAACTCCTAGACTTTGAAAAGCCTGGGCAGTCTCCTTGTACTTTCCCCTAGACCCACCATCTATTCACCGCCCTCAAGATCTTATCACTCTAATGGTAACTGGAGACAGGGAAAGATGAAATTAGAGGAAAGAGGAGGTTTACAGCAGAGATGCCATCAGCTGCCTGTTCCATGTGCCCATGGCCTTGTCTCCTGCCCTCCTTTGCTTTGGATCCTTGCTTATTTTCTTCTTGGATTTCTAAGAATGGATATTTCTCCTGCCATACCTCTTCCTCAGGTTATTCTCAATAACTATTCACATGAGATATGAAAGAGAAGAACAATGTAAAACAACCCAAAAGGAAGAGCCAAGGCAACAGACGTTTCCTTAAAAGATAAAAGAATCAAAGCTGGCCACTTCTAAATTTGCTTTACCTACTGCAGCTTGATTTCCTAGCCCCATGTTCAATTGTTTGTCTTTGATGTTTACGAATACTTGTCTCTTGAGTGGCAGAAATGGAGAGAAAGTTGTTCTTCTCCCTAGAGCTTAGTATGTACTATTAACACTGTTAAATCTTCTTTTGTGTATTTTAATCCTCTCACCAACACCCTCCCAAATAACATTAATGCCTTAAAGTAATAGGTCATGGGTAATTATTACTTCCTGGACAAGCTGAGTGGAAGGAAAATCAAGGGTTAGGGCTAGAGTTAGGATTAGTCAGCAGGTTGATTTGCCATAAAGCTGTTGCTGCTCTGTTTCTCCAACTGATAATTATTTGACACCTTCTCTTTTGACCCTTGGAGGTCACTAGGGGAAATTTCTCTAACTTCTTTGTCATTGTTGCTTTTGAAAATCCTGCAGCGTTTGTGAACCAGGTCCCCAAGGATGTGTCTTTTAAAGGACAGTTGTTTCTACTGAGCAGTGGGCTTATTGCATCCTGGAATTGTACAGTTCTAAGTTCTGTCTGAGTGAGGTCTGTGGGAGGAGTCAACATACAAAGCCAGCCCAAGATCAGTGGCAGAGAAATAGAACAAGAGAAAGAAGAGAGGAGTGGGAAGAGATACACACTGAATATATACAGAGAAAAAAATCTATAAAACAGAAAACAAATCTCTCCCACCTTGGGTTCTTATCGTCCAACAGGGCATCCAACAGACTCAGAAGTAACTTTTAATTTTGGGATTTAAAAGTCGTACCACAAATATGAATTTGAGGTGATGTTGCCTTTTCCTTGAATTATATAGAAGAACAATTTTTAGTTTCTGTATAATCCATCTGGACCCTAGAATCTTTTCCAGGTGAGAATTACAAAGTCATCAAATTCTTAAGTTTCTCAGAGAAGCAATTTTCAAGGATTTAGATCAGGTTATTCCAGAGCCGCTCCTTTACTTCTTTTTCCTTTTTCCACCCTCTTTCCTTTCTGTCTTCTATCTTCAAGCCCCAAAGTGAAGAGGCAAAGACTCACAGTGGTGGCATAGGGCATATTCTATGAATACCTCTCCACGGGTTGAACTACTGGACAATGGAATCAAGATCTCCAAGCCAGACTCAACCAAGATGACCTACTTCACTAAGGTTCCTCAAGAGGAATAACAGAATGCATTATGGTGAGACATCTGGTCAATTAAACATCACAAATTATTTGCTTACTGAGTGCCAACCATGCATCAAGAACTGAGCTAAATATTAGAGATAAAAAGATAAACAAGCTAAAAATAGGATAAATTTGGTATTTTCAGGGAGCTCATAAATCTAGTAGTGGTGACAGGTAAACAAACTAATACATATTATCATGATATTTTGCTTTTAGGTCTAAAATATTATAAAACCAGATAGCTGGGGTGATGGGAAGGAAATGGTGATAGCAAAGGGTGGTTAGGGATGGTTAAGTAGGCATTTGCCAGGTGGCAAGAGTTAGAAAGAATTTCAGATAAAAGATAGAGTATGTGCAACTGCATAGTCTTGAAGGAGGATATTGTACCGAACAACTTTAAATTCCTCAGTGTGGCTTGAGCTTCAGTTGAGTAGCTGAGGAAGAAAGATTACGATACGAGGGATGTGGGAGTCAGATCATGAGGGACCTGCTATGCAACATAAGGTGTTCAGATGTACAGTATAATCACTGAAGGGTTTGAACTGGAAAGTCACGTGTTCATATTTATATTTTAGCAAGATTACTCAGTCTGGAGAGGGCAATACTATTTAATATCTATACATGTTGTCTTGAATGGACAACAGACCTTGCCAGAGTCTGTATGGGTCTTAGCCCCCTGCAGTGCGGGCTCGCTGTATTTCTGCTGAGACTTGAACCTTTATTTTCTTTTTCTTGTGATGAAAGCTTTAAAAAAAAAGTTTCCTGAAGTGTAGTTGATTTTGCAGTGTTAGTTTCAGGTGTACAGCAAAGTGATTCAGTTATACATATACATACATATATATGTTTGCTTTTCAGATTCTTTTCCATTGTGTTATTACAAGAAATCAAATATAGTTCCCTGTCCTATACAGCAGGTCCTTGTTTATTTTATATGTATAGTAATGTGTGTCCATTAATCCCCAGCCCCTAGTTTATCCCTCCTCACTCTTTCTCCTTTGGTAATCATAGTTTATTTTCTATGTCCATGAATCTGTTTTTTGTTTGTAAATAGAATTTGTATCATCTTTTTTAGATTTCACATATAAGTGATATCATATAAGATGTCTTTCTTTGTCTGACTTACTTTATGCAATATAATTATCAAGACTTGAACTTTTGACTTTCCTTTCCATCTACCTTCCACCTGAACTGCACAAACTGCCTTCCCTTATTTGTCCCATTCCCCCAGTTCTCATCAAACTTCCACTTCCTTCTTGAGAAAACCTATTTCCCACCTGTAGCATCTTCCAAGTGATATACATCAATCTATTCCTTTGATTCAGCAGGTGAGTCCCACCCCTGACTGAGCCAACACTCTTTTCCTAATAAAGACCTTCAAAGTTAGGAAACAGTGACTGAGTGAGCCATACCAGGTCAGTGGCTGGATCAGAGGTCACTATACAGTGGGGGAGCTCATACAGATTTAGATACATATGAGGGTCAATGAGGGGTGGGGTGAAGAGCATCAAAGTCTTGAGGAGAAAACACTGTAATAGCTTGTTATTTGTTTTTTCTCCTCAAGACTTTGAATGGGGAAATCTGACTTTTTCATCTTTATATTTTCAAAATTCAGGGTGGGGCCAAGCCTCCAATGAATATGCATCAGATCTTTATCTTAACCACTAATGATTCTCTAAATTATCAGCATGCATAATTTGTTCAATGTTTTTGTATTACAACTCTTTTTTTTCACTCTAATAGGAATTAAAGTTTAGGCAAACTGAGGTTTGCTCCAGATTATAAAGTTATTAAGAGATAAATCATGGACTAGACTTCAGGTCTTCCAAGTACTTGTCACACTGGTCTCCAGTTTCCTTAATCCTTTACACTCCAAATGCTGGGGCTTCTTTTGTCGATGCTGAGTCTCTTGTTATGTTACTCTTCTGTTTTCTATGATTCCTAAAATAGCAGACACAAGTGAGGGTGCATTCCTATGTAAAAATTCCTTCACAATCTTGTTATGTAATTGGTAAGATTTAGGCTGCGCTTCCATACTGTGTCATACCTCCTGGACAAAAATGACTTCCCTGAGAGAGTTGTAAAAATTAATTAAAGGATAATGCTTTTTAGTAGAGAAAGATGTCACATTTGAGTTCATTTCACTGCGGTAATTTTTCCAACACATATAACCAACTACTTTATTGGAGATCTGGGGCTTTTAGGCCACAGAACAGATATAAATCAGAAATAATTACTAAACATCTAGGAAATTTCACATCTTATTCTTCTTTCATTTCAGGTCCCTGAATTCTGCCTTTCCCTTTCCAGTTTGTCTTGCTTGGTCTCCTTGAAAAGAATGTTTCTTTTTTTAGAATGATTTTATTTATAATCTCAAGCCAACTTTTATTTCTACTTTTCTCTTTCTTCTATCTCCACTTAGGATGGAAGTGTTTGTAAATTTCAGTTCTCTCCTCCGATTACATACTGTGCGCTGGGAAGCCCAGGACCCTTCTGAGTTGTTGAATTTCCTGACTTCTCACTTCCAACGCAGCTTCTTAAATGCAACGTGTCCTCAAGAATTATCCATAATGAGGAGGAGTTTCAGTCAGTGAGTAGATAGAATTAACACTTCTTCCAGCAATGTATGTGTGTATATAATATTATATATGCATAAGTAAAACTATTTTGTATATATTTTATATATAACTATTATCATTAGTGTTCCTAGGAGCCATCTAAAAAATCAAAATGTATATAATGACTCGAAGAGGGTAGACATTCCTTCATTCAATTTTTTACGCCATGGCCTTAAAAATAGGCACTGAATTGTTAAGCACTTTTGCCAGTGTCTTCAGAAGACACAACATAGCTGAGGAGTAGACCAGAGTCAGCAATTCTTCTGGTCAGGAGGGTCTTTTCCAGTTGATATTCTGATTTTATTTTCTCCAGATTTTGAACTTCCCTGCTTCCTGGACCATCCTCAGCACTTTTCCAATCACGATGGTCTCCTACCAAACAGCTGCCCCTGAAATCTGTGAATATGCTGAGAAGAAAAGGATTTCTATCTAGCACTCCCGAAGACCTCTTTCTGACCCAGATCCAAAGGCCTGAAACCTGAATCTGACTTCATGATTTTGCTTTGAGATTCTCTGCTTTGTATTGGGGGTGGATTTGTTTTCAGGTCCTATTCTGATACCCTATTTTCTGGAGAGGATCTTGCGGCCTCTCATGATTCCCAAATCGCATCCTGGGACCAGATTATGGCACTAGGATTAAGTTTAATCCCTTGCTGCTAATGTGAATTTCTCTCTTCAGTTTGGTGCTACTATCCTTAAATCCTTTGTCTTTTCATGTCCTAACCATGCGGAAGGAAAACATCACTCATATCAGTGAATTCCTCCTGGTGGGCTTCCCTGCTTCCCCTTGGCTGCAAGTTCTGCTGTTCCTCCTCTTCCTCATCACCTACCTATTTGTGCTGTTGGAGAATGTAGTCATCATCCTCACTGTATGGGTCACTGGGTCCTTGCACAAGCCCATGTACTATTTTCTGGGCACCATGTCCTTTCTGGAGACCTCATATATATCTGTCACTGTGCCCAAGATGCTGGCTGGATTCTTACTTTGTTCCAATACTATCTCCTTCCTGGGATGCATGACCCAGCTCTATTTCTTCATGTCACTCGCCTGTACTGAGTGTGTGCTCTTGGCTGCCATGGCCTATGACCGTTACGTGGCTATATGCTGGCCTCTTCGCTATCCAGTCATGATGACCACAGGATTTTGTGTTCAGCTAACCATCAGTTCCTGGGTGAGTGGCTTCACCGTCTCCATGGCAAAGGTATACTTCATCTCCCAGGTTGCCTTCTGCGGCAGTAATATCTTGAACCATTTTTTCTGTGATGTTTCTCCCATCCTCAAACTGGCCTGCACAGACTTTTCCATGGCTGAGCTGGTAGACTTTGTGCTAGCCATTGTCATCCTTGTGTTTCCTCTCACAGCCACTGTCCTTTCCTATGCCTTCATTGTCTCTGCCATCCTGCACATTCCCTCCGCCGCTGGGCAGTGGAAGGCCTTCTCCACCTGTGCCTCTCACCTTACAGTGGTGCTCATCTTCTACACGGCTGTGATCTTCATATATGTCCGACCTCGGGCCATTGCTTCATTCGATTCTAACAAGTTGATCTCAGCCATCTATGCAGTTTTTACTCCCATGCTCAACCCCATCATCTACTGCCTGAGGAACAAGGAGGTCAAAGATGCCATTAGGAAAACCATGGCAAGTGGCCGAGCCCTTCTCTTGAGAGATTCTCTTTGCTGAAGAGACTGAGCTATTCCTTCTTTTTTCATCATTTGCGATTATAAACATACTGATTTAGCACAATAATTAAGGGATAAGGAGCCAGATATCAAAGGAAATCCCCTTTTCTTTCAGGTCTTAATTAAATGCTTCCTTTTATAAGACAATGTGTGAAATGATCAGAACTCTAAGAGACATGTATTAGTAAAATAGTTATAAAATAATTTTATTTTTATGAAGACATTTAGAAATAATATTTTCAAAGTTCTATTGGTAATATTTTTTCCATTTTGAATTTGTTTTGTTTTAAAAGCCCTATCTTTGTGCTGTAGTTAATTTCATTAACTGTTTATTGCTTCCTAGGAGCTTAGGGGACTGGTTCCTTTTATAATCAACTGACCTGAATGATATCTCACTTTAATTCTTTTTAAACTTTAGGAAAATATGAGAGACAAACATCTCTCAGGCTCCAATAGAAACAGTGTAAGATAGAGAGCATACAAACCTTGTCATGGCAGAGAGAAAACAAGATTTCATATATATATATATACACACATACACATACACATATACACACACACATACATATATAATATGTTGAACCATTTTATAATATAAATTATGTAATGTAATATATAATTTTATGATATGAAATATATATAAATGTAGATGTTCCAATAAACTGCAAACTGAGATAAACTCTATCTATAAAATATATAATTTCATGCTTTAGTTCTCTTTCTTTACTGGAACTTCTACGTATATAATTTTGGGGATGTTATAGTTGGGGACTCTAAGAGAAACCAGTGGCAATTCATTAAAACCCCCCTTCTTTTCAGGTAAAGCAAGCATTGGCCTTGACAAGAGGCCACAGAAGTGCTTTTGCTTAGCTGTTACTTGGCCTGATGTGTAGGACCTTCCCAAGTTTCCCAGAACATCTCTCTTCTCATTTGTTTTTCTTTTGATTTTGGAATGGTGGGCCTATATCCTCAGAAGTAGTACACATTTTCATTCAGCCATTATAAAATGATAGGAGAGAGATTCTATCTGGCTCAGCAATACTGGATGAGTGAACTAATGAACTATGGACGTTTGCCAAGAGTTTAAGGATGACAGGCATACTGTTCTACCCTAACGCCCTTGGAAACCACATTTTATAAGTCTTAATTGGGTTATTTATTTGTACACCACATTTGCTTTGTTTTGACTTTATTTACATTTTAACTGCATGGTCTTCCCATTTTGTATGAAGCTTTTATATAAGGTCATATGAGATTGCTTTAAATAGATATATTTTACAAACTGTGGTAGTTTCCAACTTACACAAACCTGTTACTTTCTCCTACCCTTCAGTCCTTTTGGCATAACCACTGTATAATTCCTAATAATATGTACCATTTTTCTTTAGTCAAAAAATAGTGTTATGGGCCATGGCCTTCACATAAACACTAAAAATAATGTAAGATGCCTTATCTTAAATCATATAATTTCTTACTCCAATGTTAGAATTTTCTAGTCTTTACATCAAAAAATGGCAATGTTATGCTATATCTATTTCTGTTTGAAAACCTTTATTAAATCACTATTAGGCGATTGATGCTTTTTAAAAATTTCACAAGATTCGTTTTTATTCTAAAAATGCTTTTTAATTTCAGTTAAGCAGCCCTAGTGTTATTTGTTATTATAACCCCAACTATCATCTATATTTATAACCTGACATTTTTTTCTGGTTTGGACCACCTGATTTAAAATTTGTCTATATAGTCTTTAGATCATTTGTTATATAAATCCACTGTGTCCTAACTTCTATTTTACTTGATGAATTGGCTTTCCAAGGGAGTTATTGTCTCTACAACAGTGTGTTTTTCTTTTATTATGTTTGTTTTAAATTTTTTTTTACTTTAACATTTAAAATATTTTACTTTTCAATGTTTAAAACATACAGAAAAGTAGAGACAACTTTTCCCTCAACTCAGATTTTTAAATTAATAATTAAAAGCTGTACATAGATTTTTATAATAATATTACATGTTTAATATTATACTCCAGTTATAACTGTTAACTTTATTCAAAATCAAAAGAGTAGCATTCAAAAAGGAAAGAAGGAATGACTTGTAGCTGAGTAGAAATTTCATGGAAGGAGATGGATAGGTGAAGGTTTTCCCAGAAGTCAGTCAGTGAGCCAGAAAAAGTAACAGATAAACTGTCAAAACTCAGGGTAGCAGGAAGTTTTCCAGGTGACTAAACTGGTAAATTTCCCCCTATATTGCAGAAAAAATTTGCATTGTGTGTAACAGTAAGGGTTCAATCAGAGAAACTAGAGCCAGTAGGAAATAACTATTAAGAGATTTATTACATGGAGCTGGTTTATGTAATTGTGAGAGTTGGCAAGGCAATCCAAAATTCAAAGGGCAGGCTGTCAGGAAGGCTAACCTGGAATTCTCAAGCATGAGCTGAAGCTACTTCCCACAGGTGGAATTTCTTCTTCCTCAGGGAAGCTTCAGTTCTGCTCTTAAATACTCTCAACTGATTGAATCAGATTCCTCCAGATTACCTAGAAAAATCTTCTTGACTAAAAGTTAACTGATTATGGACTTTAATCACATCTACAAAAATATCTTCACAGCAACACCTGGATTAGTGTTTGAAAAACTAGGAACTAAAGCCTAGCCATATGAACACATAAAACTGACCCCCATGGTCCTTCTTTGTCAACTTGGCACTCACATACATCTCCTTAAACCACACAGCCTCCAAAATAAAGATAGTAACAAAGTCATACCTCCACCTAATGGAATGCAACTATTCTATGTAAAACCAAAACTATGCTAACCTTTTCTCCAGAAGATGCAAAGTCTTCTGGGCTGTTCACTCTTCTCCTTTGATATTCTGTAACTTAAATACTATGATATAAAGTTAATTTATTAATACATTAATATATCTTTTGTTAAATGATACATATATATGTATATATGTGTACACATATATTTATAACAAAATAAATATTGACAATATTAAACCATTACAAATCTCATTTAATTTCTGAAACTGGTCACATTGTCGTAACTAGTATTTGCCTTCAACTATCCATTCCATTTTCTCTTTGGTCTCAAAAAGCACCTTAGCTGTTCATGGTTCTTTGCCTGGTAAGGTGATCCAAACCTTCATTCCTGAATGGCCTGGGCCATTAGAAGTCCTGCGCCTGAACCGGGTTGTTGTAATTTTCCACTAACTTGAATCACAGTAGTAAGAGATACTCTAAGGGATCTCCTGTATCCCTGCCATACTCTTCCTTACTTCCATTGTATGGTAGCAATCAGTTTCCCCTTAGATCAGGATCAATCATCCTGATCAGGAACATGTTTTTTTGGTTTTTTGTTTTTACATTTTTTTTCTTAATTTATAATCATTTTACAATGTTGTGTCAAATTCCAGTGTAGAGCACAATTTTTCAGTTATAAATGAACATGTACATATTCATTGTCAATTTTTTTTCTGTGAGCTACCATAAGACCTTGTATATATTTCCCTGTGCTATACAGTATAATCTTGTTTATCTATTCTACAATTTTGAAATCCCAGTCTATCTCTTCCCACCCCCTGCCCCCTTGGCAACCACAAGTTTATATTCTATGTCTGTGAGTCTATTTCTGTTTTGTATTTATGCTTTGTTTGTTTTTTAGATTCCACATATAAGTGATCTCATGTGGTATTTTTCTTTCTCTTTCTGACTTACTTCACTTAGAATGACATTTTCCAGAAGCATCCATGTTGCTGCAAATGGCGTTATGTTGTCGGTTTTTATGGCTGAGTAGTATTCCATTCTATACATATACCACTGCTTTTTTATCCAGTCATCTGTTGATGGACATTTAGGCTGTTTCCATGTCTTGGCTATTGTAAATAGTGCTGCTATGAAATTGGGGTGCAGGTGTCATCCTGAAGTAGGGTTCTTTCTGGATGTATGCCCAGGAGCAGGATTCCTGGGTCATATGGTAAGTCTATTCCTAGTCTTTTAAGGAATCTCCATACTGTTTTCCATAGTGGCTGCACCAAACTGCATTCCCACCAGCAGTGTAGGAGGGTTCCTTTTTCTCCACAGCCTCCCAGCATTTGTCATTTGTGGATTTTTGAATGATGGCCATCTGACTGGTGTGAGGTGATACCTCATTGTAGTTTTGATTTGCATTTCTCTGATAATTAGTGATATTGAGCATTTTTTCATGTGCTTATTGATCATTTGTATGTCTTCCTTGGAGAATTGCTTGTTTAGGCCTTCTGCCCATTTTTGGATTGGGTTGTTTACTTTTTTCTTATTGAGTCGTATGAGCTGCTTATATATTCTGGAGATCAAGCCTTTGTCGGTTTCACTTGCAAAAATTTTTCCCATTCCGTAGGTTGTCTTTTGTTTACTTATGGTTTCCTTTGCTGTGCAGAAACTTGTAAGTTTCATTAGGTCCCATTTGTTTATTCTTGCTTTATTTCTTCTAG